TCCATTAATTTTTGACGATATTCTACATTACATTCAAATGCATAATTAAATAATCTTTTTCCAGTTAAGTTATCATTTAAGGGATCTTCAGGAATACAATTTTTAAATTCTTTTAATGAAGAAACATGAACTGATTCAAGACCTTTTCTAAACCCATTTTCATTAATTTTATAGTCCTTTGCTCCTAACTTCCATGCAACCCATAAAGCTTTTATAGACCCGATATCATTAATACCAAGGTCTTCAATCAGTTTAGCCAATCCTTCTGGTTGAATTTCTCCTTCTTTTTGATACAAATTAAAGTCATTTTGAATTGTGTTTGTTTGTTCTTTTTGTTTTTCTTGTGTTGTCTTGTCAGTCTCTGCTTTTTGAGGTTGGACTTTTACCTTTTCTTGAACTTGAATCTTTGGCTTTTCTTGTATTGGAACTACTGGTTTTGTATTTGCTACTTTAGGAGTGCATTGTGTTGTTGTAACGCGTTCTGTGGTTTCATTTTTTGGTTGTTCCCATTTTTTATTTGGTGAGGATTGTGGAGGAGTTGTTTCTGGATTGTTTGTAGATTGTTTTTTACTCTTTTGTTGGTTTCTTTTTATTCTATGTGATTGGGCCGATCCCATAATAACTTGATAATATGATTTTATTAGATCTTTGTTAAATTCTAATGAAAAGAAAAAATCTAAAAACAAATTTTTTTGTATTCTTTTTTTAAATACAAATCAGTTTTGAAAATGGTCTCTTATTTTATATTTATTTCTTTTCTCGTATTAATTTTTTGAGTTATAGAAATTAATATACTTGTCATCATAAAAATAAGAATAGGTTTTAGTTTGTTCAGTCTAATGATAGAAATAAAAAAGTTTATAATTTAACATTTTAATAATCACAATAAATGTTATTTAATGTCTGAATTATTGATAAAAGATAAATTGACTTGTGTTATTAACTTAAGTTTCTTTTTATATTTGTATTGGTATCCTTTCTAAGACAAATAATTTCATTAACCCAAATAGAGTTTTAATTTGAATAATTTCAAGTTAGTATAGTTTATAACTATTCATAAAATCATTCAAATTATTTTTATTTATTTTTATATTAATGTCAAAAATTGACTAATATCAAATGAAATAATTAGACAAATATAAGGTCCGTCCTATTCTTTTTTAATACATATAATTATTATTGTAAAATTATTTAATATTACATTTATGTATTTTTTTTAATATAATAATGTTTATAACTTTTTCTTTTATATGACATTATTTGTTGTTCTTTTTCATTTATAATGAATAGAATAATATTATTTAAATGTTAATGCTTTGTATGATGTGAAACTATTGTTTCTTTATTCTAATATGAAAATTAAATTTTAACATATTTTATTTTGGTATTTTCTTTTAAATATAATATAATTTTTATATCTAAATCAAATCATTCACTCATTCTTGTTAATATAATTTACAGCTTTCATTCTTTCTTTTGTTTTGTTATTTTGGTTCTAATAAAAATATATTGATTTCTGATTAATGACTAAATTGATAATTGGATTATTTCGAGCTCTAGTTCTTTTTCTCTATTCTTAATATTATTAATTCTTTTTTTTTCGGTTTAACTATAGTTGTATCTTTTTTGGTCATATATTCAAAAGTACTAGTTTTTTCTGCTATTTTTTCTTTCTTTTTGTTAAATTTGTGATGATTTATCATTTTGTTGTTATAATTTTTGTTTGTTGTTCATGTATTATTTTGTTTGAATTTTTGATTGTTAGTTTATTCTTTATTTTATTTTGTTTTATATTTATTTCTTTTATTATCTTTGTTATTTTATTCTTTTTTATTTCTTTATTTCTTGTTTTTCTATTATTTCTTTGTTCTTTTTGTTTCATTTTATCATTATCTATTCTCATTTTTTATTTGTTTGTTATTTCATTGTTTTATTTCAAATATTTCATTTGTAATAGTTCTTAAATAATTATAATGTTTAATAATAACATCAATTGATTGATGAATAAATTAAAATTATTCTATTCTTCTTTATATAATCGAATATTGATAATTATTATTTCTACCATTTTAATTTAATTAATATCAAATCAAAATAAAATATTTAAATATTTAAATACACATTTATAATAGATACTAAAGCGAGTATTAGTTCAACAACGGAAACAAAGAACAAAAAAGGAAAAAGTAGTATACTCCGAAATCACAATGGAAGAGGGTTAAAAGTTAAAACAAGAAATAAATAAAATAGGTAAAAGAAATTAACTTGAAGATTAAAAAACTTCAACAAGTAAAAAGAATCAAAGAAAGTAAAAATGAAAAGATACAATAATTATTGAGTATGGAGACAATCTACTCAAATAAGTAAAGGAAAAAAGAACACAATAAATTACTCATTTAAAACTATTTTAAATTAAAGGATGTAAAAAAAAATAATAATGGACATCAAAAATAGAATAGAGTGAACAAGAAAACTAATAACAAAAATAGAAAAATTATATTAAATAATATATTATCCTAAAAAGGATTTATCAAATATATATAAAATATAATGAATATATATATTCCACTCAAAGAATTCTTAAGTTAAATGAATGATTAAAGCGAGAGTTAAAAAATACTCATGAGATTATTGAAAAATATATGTAAAATAGAAGAAAAGAATAGATACTAAAATAAAAATAATAAGTAATAAAGAAAAAAAATAGAAACAACTTAAAGCAGAATAAAAAATAAAGTATATATTTTCAACCAATAAATATTTAATTAATAATAGTGTTGATAAAGCAACAACCATTTTGATCTTAATAAGAATCAATAGAACTAACTAACTATATTAAAAATAGAAAGAATTATAAGTTAGAAAATTATTGAATTAATATAACTATAAATAGAAAGAAATTATAAAATATTGAATTATCAATAATATGGACTAAAAGAAACAACTTCATGTGAGAACAAACTGTAAGGTTCTGTTTTGGTAAGAAGGAAATTAAATAACTCTAAAATCAAATCAATATATCATTGTTTAAAAACTATTTAATTTATAAACGAATAACTTAAACAGAAAAAAATTTTTTATTTCAAAAACAATGAAAAACTGAATTTATTACTAAAAAAATAATTGAAAAACTCGTTTTCAATAATTTATTTGATATAAAAAACCTATTTGTCCGAAGATTTAAATAAGAGAAAGTTTAAAATTATTTTTTTACAAAAGAAAAAAGTATTGATAGAAATTAATAAAATTTTTTAAGAAAGATGAGTCCAAAATAAGCATAAATAAAGTTACATAACATGTTTAGTATGAATAGTTTAATTAACAAATTCCAACGACAACGAAATATAAAAAAATATTGTCTATAAAGTGTTACTTAAACTGAAAATAAATAAAATATATTTAACGTTTACTGTAAGATGTCATCCAAAAAGTTGTATACTACTATTAACTATACACAACTAAGTCCAGTAATTAAAGTTCAAAGGTTAGTACCAAGAGACAATGTTCTAAAAACGTTAGATGAACTTTTTGATTATGATGATATTGATTTTATAATTGGAGAGAATGGGACAACGAAAGGAGAACAAGAACAACAAAGTTAAAATTTAAGAATGTAAATAGGATTTATAAAGAATTAAATAACATTAATATACAATTTTTTGTTATTTCATGTTTTAAAGAAAAAAAAAAAGAAAAAGAAAGAAAATAAAAATAAAGATAACTAAGAATACTCTTTTATTAAATGAATATTAGTGTATCAACTGAATTTACAGAACACGAACAAAATATATTAAAAAAAAGGTTAATGTTTAATGATAATGTTCTTAATTTTTATTTAGAGTATCTTGAAAAGAAATATGGAGATAAATCTGTATGTATTTTATCAACATTTTTCTTTGAAAATATGAGAAGAGCAAATGATCCAAATGTTGATAAAGAAGGTCAATTTTATCACTGTTCTAGGTGGTTTAGTAAAAAAGATTTAGAGTTAAAAGATCTTGAATACATTATAATTCCAATTAATGTTGAAAAACATTGGACATTATTAATTTATTGTCTTCAAAGTGACAGAATGTTAAAAGGGAGTAAAAGAAAATTTTATGAAGAATATGAATTTTATCCACGCGATAATTTATTAAAATGAACAATACA